AAAGACTGTGGGGTTGAATTATCGTCACCCGAGTTGTCGGTGTTCTCTTGCGGACAAGCCGCTTGGTCCTTACGGCTGAGCTTTTCGTTGTGTTCTCGTGCCCTTCTTGATTTCTCAGTAGTTTGGTATTCTTTAGCCATCTCGAGCGCCACTTGTTGTCGGCGGTTAATTTATCGTCTCCAGGCCAGTGCCTCTGACTGCTTACCAATACCACGCTTCAGCGAGGTTGTCATAGCACGCAAAGTTGTATGAGCATCCCAGCCGTGCACTAGATAAAATGGAGTTTCCTTTCTCGTCATGTCATGCGAGTTATTGATAGCAAATACAAGTCGTTCTGCGATTTCGTCCCAGTCTTGTTGTAGTGGATCTTCAACATAGACTTTCACTGACTGCATGACTGGCTTCACTGAGAGCTCTTGTTGACCATTTGCTTGTGGACGATAGCTCAATGTAGACCGTGACCCGTGCCTGAATCAATTCAGCAAATGCTTGGAAAAATTATGTACTCTGGCCTCCTTCTTCCTGGGTTAGTGCGGCTTCATTCCTTTCTGGTTCAGCATCGAGGGTTGCCGATCGTTCATAAATTTGCCGCTACATTTGAGGCATCGGTGTCTGACATTGCTTTAGCAATGACGAACCCCGTGAACGAGCACTGCCAGAGTAGTAGTGCTGTATTGCCTCGACGAGACTTCGGCAGCGGAATAACGAAATCCATTGATACTGCTTGGAATGGTCGTTCTGCTAGCACGTTACCAGGTGAGTAGCCTTTGAGCGGTGGTGTGCTCTTGCTCGAGCTACAGCCAAGGTGAACATCTGCATACAGTCTAATCCAGTAGTAGTCATGTTTACCCTCTGATACGATCGAACGACTCCTTGATGTCCTCCATCAATAGAGTCATGACAATTCTGCAGCACTTCTTGGATCATACTGAATCATTGTTGTCGGTACTACAAGTCTCAACGACAATTCCGGTTGGTCATCTTTCGACTTACGTCGAGTTGGACCCACATAGTAGAGTATGTTATCGCTGGATAGGACAAACTTGTCAGACCATTTCCACGCGTCTCGAGCTTCTTTGTAGCTCATTTTCGTGGTTTCGCCTCTGAGAATAGCCTTAAGCATCGGCCATCTTAGTTCTTCATCCTGTGCTTCGGAAATTCGTCGGCGTCGCTCTTCTTG